AAAAAAAAAAAAAAAAAAAAAAAAAATTAACAATGCCATATCCCTATACGTATAACACAAATTAGACTTTGATCACAAGACTTGAAAGAAACTTAGTTTACAGCATTGTAAGCATCTGTGAAATCCCTGCTAAACAAAGAAATACTTTTTAAACTGTCGAAACGCTTTCAAGTTTGTACCAGAAACGAAAAACTTTATTTTATTTCTTCAATGAAATACCACAGATTCTTCCGCACTGAATTTTTATGATTGCAAATTTGCTTCACAAATCAACGATTCCATAATACAAATGCTTTCTTGAGATTCTTAAGACCTTTGCACTTCCAACACCAGAACCTATAAATCGCGGAAAATCCCTCAGTGAATAATTTCCAAAAAGAACATCAAGCCCAGAAACCTCTTGAAGAACACTCTCTCAAAATTTCAAACGTCTTGAAACTGCCAACAAATAAACTGACTGTCATTACTATGCCCAACATGTGTTACGAGCAAATGTAATAATCCGCAAAATAAATTGGTATTTGTTGTCAAATGTATATCTTTAATTCAGCTCATTACAGTTTAATCCCAGTACCCTTGGACTCGTTGTTATGCCAAAAAGCGACTTCCCATACACCTGTCAAGATCAAGTCAAAAGTGTATGAAGCAAACCTATCCAAACAGCATTACGACTCAATTTGAGATAGTAACAAAGACCATTTTTGCAGATCAGAAGAATGCGGAAACGAAGAGTATGCAACTGGTTTCAAACTTTAAGCCGTCGTAATTATTTCATTCCCGAAACTTCGCCTCCAGACCAACACCCCATTATTCTATACATTACTATCCAGCCTACCCATTAAAGACTAATTTATATTTCACCAATCTTGCATGTAAACAAGTTCTTGGTACTGCCTTCTGCTACGTTCTTGTAACGCTGCTTTTTTCACTTGAAGAAACCGTACATTACAACTAGTCTTGTTCAACCAGAACAATAATTTACAGAAATCCATCCAAAAATCGCCACAATATTTTAAAACAGCCTGATATATTTACAACTTTGGGATGTGAAATGAAAAACATCTATTTCCGCCAAAATATCCTAAAAAGGGGAAGTGAACCAAACAATTGCATTGTGTAAACAGAAGTAATAAAAAAGCAATAAAATAAAAAAAAACCGATAAACAGCACATCGTTTCGTTTAGCTTACAATGTTTCAAACCATGATTACCACTAATTTCTCACATGACCGCCCCTCCAAGTCGAATAGAGTGTATTTCGGACATATAGAAAAAACTAAACAGGAAATCCAACACTAAACAAATTAAACATTTTTCTGTTAGAAACAATCAGACCATAGAGTATTAACCTTCAAGTCTTCCGAAGACGCCTAGATTCTGCCAAAGGTGTCGAAGGCATAGGAGTAGACGCTTTTCTTTTTCGGCTCTGAAAACAAAAGTAAAATGATTTTACCTGAAACCGTCTGTAAACTATAACAGAGTACTGGAGATAAGTCTCCAGTGAGGGGTTTATATAACGAACCACTGCCAAAAAAGTTGAGAGTTCTATCATGTCGGTTATAGCCCTTCCAGGATGCCGCGTTCCTTCGACTTCTGCGGAATCACCATCAGATGCATTATAAACGCGCAGTCGAGAAGGAATATCAAACATCTAAAACAAGTTTTTTGAATAACTGAAGAAGATATTCAAACGAAAAGCTTGACATAATCAAAAAAAAAAGCAAAAAAATAGCTGATAAATTTGCAACCTTTCCGGTGAGAGAATTATATTTATTCCTAAGCGACTCCAGCTCATATTCAGCATTTTGTAAAGTATGTTTTAACTCTTGTAA